TTATTTTTATTTTAATTTATTTATTTATTTTTTTATCAGATGGAGTCTCGCTTGTCGCCCCCAGGGCTGAGGCAGTGGCACGATCTCGGGTCACTGCCAACGCTCCGCCTCCCCCTCCTCAGTTCACGCCATTCTCCTGCCTCAGCCTCCTGAATAGCTGGGACTATAGGTGCTCACCACCACACCCAGCTAATTTTTTGTATTTTTAGTAAAGACTGGGTTTCACCATGTTGGCCAGGCTGGTCTTGAACTCCTGACCTTGTGATTCCCCTGCCTCGGCCTCCCAAAGTGCTGGGATTACAGGCGTGAGCCACTGTGCCTGGCCTTGACCATACATCTTATGCAGGAGCTTAGGGGGCTGCCCCTCTGTTGGCCCAAGGGTCCCCTGAGCAGGTATCCCCCACCAGAGGCTGCTTGGGACAGACCTTGATGATGTCATCACCCTTCTGCCTAGTGAGGTGTCTGGCCTCCTTGGCCTTGGTCACCCCCAGCTGCCCTTCTCCTTTGAGAGCAGGGGGCCCACTGATGTGGCTGCACCCCCACAGCCTCAGAGGATGGCCCTGAGAGCCTGTGAAGGTGCTGGCCCTGTGCAAGTTACACATTTCCAAGCCTTTGGCAGGAAGGGTCTCCTAAGGAGAGGCTGGGCAGGTTCAGTCCCTGAGTCCACTGAGCCCCTTTCTCTGCATTATGTCCAGGGATTTCTGGCTTTGTAACCATGTTTTAGGGGCCGCCCTGCCTGTAGCTTCCAGGAATTTGGCCCTGCAGCAGCCAGAGGGACCCTGGGCTGCCAGGCCGGCTCAGTTGATCCAGACACCGTGGGTGCCGCAAGGCACCCAGCTGTTGCCCGGGGCCTGTCTCTTGGAACCCATCCTACACATGTTCTGTGGGGTTTTGTTGACAGAAACTCAGCTTCCTGCCATTCACAGGTGCCCGGTCTTCCCCCTCAGGTGCGATTGTGGGTGTGGATGTCTTGGGGCCTGACTCTCCCAGGATCAAGGGCTGAGCTGGGCGGGGGCTCTTGGGAAGTGGGACTTAGGGTCCCAGGTTATCGAATGTACCCCATGCCAGTTCTCTGTGCCCTGCACAGCACTCCAGCTCTCCCGCCAGATGTCTGGGGAGGCTGCACCTCCCACCCTCACGGCTGCTTTGCTGCTGTCTGGGCCCAGCTGTGAATGGCTTTGCATTCCCCCAGCTTTGCGGTGGTGAGAAAGATGTGCGGTCATGGCGGCTCCCACCCTCCCCACGATGAGCACTCAGGAGCCTGAGCTCATCCTCTCCTTCTTCAAGTGGGCTGACTGTACCTGAAGCACCCACCCACCACAGAGTTCCAGAATGCACCCCTCATGCCTCCCACCCTTCCATGGCAGGGGACAGTCAGTTCTCACAGCCTTCCCTGAGCATGTCAGTCCTGGAGACCGTAGGTGCTCAGATGATCACAGGGGGCCATGGGGGGCCACGGGGTCTGAGCATGCCACCTCACTGCCTGAACTCCCGTGAATGCCCAGGGCCCAGCTGTACATGGAACAGGCTGCCAGCCCCTCTTCTGGAAGGGTCATTGTCTGCGACACACACCGGAGATGATGACAAGGAAACTGGGTCATTTGTAAAACGGACAGGTTCAGGTCTGGGTAGGACCCAGGGCATGGCCAGCTACCTCTGCAGGGGCTGTGTGTTGGGGAACCCCGCTGCAGTGAGACAGCACCTCCACACCTCAGCTCGGAGCCACGGCCTGTTTCCCTTCATGATGCACATGTCGGGCTTGCATCTGCGGACCCTGGCTTCCTCACGGCTGTGGATGAAGGAAAGCGACTCGTCCCCACCTCTACCCTTGGGAACAGTACTGTGACCTTGAGTGGCTAAAATATGACAAACGTTCAAATAACCTAAAAAACGGCCTGGCGCGGTGACTCACACCTGTAATTCCAGCACTTTGGGAGGCTGAGGCGGGCGGATCACGAGGTCAGGAGATCGAGACCATCCTGGCCAACATGGTGAAACCTTGTCTGCTAAAAATACAAATAATTAGCCAGGCGTGGTGGTGCACGCCTGTAATCCCAGCTACTGAGAAGGCTGAGGCAAGAGAATCGCTTGAACCCGAGAGGCGGAGGTTGCAGTGAGCTGAGATCATGCCATTGCACTCCAGCCTGGGCAACAGAGCAAGACTCCGTCTTGAGAAAAGAAAAAGAGAAAGAAACTGAGGCTGGGCACAGTGGCCTGTAATCTTAGCACTTTGGGAAGCCAAGGTGGGAGGCTTGCTTGAGCCCAGGAGTTCAAGACCAGCTTGGGCTGGTCTAGTGAGCCCCATCACCACAAAAAATCAGAAACCTAGCCAGGTGTGGTGGCATGCACCTGCAGTCTCAGCACTTTGGGAGCCAAGGCAGGAGGATGGTTTGAGCCCAGAAGGTCGAGGCTGTAGTGATTCATGATTGCACCACTGCACTCCAGCCCGGGAGACAAAGGGAGAGACCCTGTCTCTAAAATTAAACATAAATAGGCTGGGCGTGGTGGTTTACGCCTGTAATCCCAGCACTTTGGGAGGCGGAGACGAGCGGATCACAAGGTCAGTAGATCGAGACCCTCCTGGCTAACACAGTGAAACCCCGTCTCTACTAAAAATACCAAAAAATTAGCCTGGGCGTAGTGGCAGGCACCTGTAGTCCCAGCTCTTGGGAGGCTGGGGCAGGAGGATGGCGTGAACCCGGAGGCGAGCTTGCAGTGAGCCAAGATCACGCCACTGCACTCCAGCCTGGGTGACAGAGTGAGACTCCGTCTCAAAAAAAAAAAGAAAAAATGTCCAAGAAAAATAAATTAACAATAAATAACATAAATTAAAACAGGCCAGGGATAGTGGCTCACACCTGTAATCCCAGCACTTTGAGAGACACAGGCAGGCGGAATGCTGGGATTACAGGAGTTCAAGACCGGCTTGGGCACCATGGCGAAATGCCACCACTACAAAAAATAAAATAAAGAAAAAAGAAAATAAAAAAAAAAGAAAAAACTGTTTCCTAGCACTGCACACTCCTGAAGCTGACCTCTCGCTAGCCGAGGAGTGGCAGTGGTCAGGGAGGTCCACACAGACTCAGGCCCAAGGCTGGGACTGGAGTAAATGATCTGGAGGGCTTGTGTGTCTGCAACGGCAACGGCGCTGGAAGGAGGTGGGGATTCTTTTGCATGGGTCCCTCTGGGACCCCTCAACACTCTTGCGTGGACAGGAGGACGTCTGTGGGAGTCCCAGAGTTGGCACTGTGGAGGAGTCTTCCGAGCGGGCAGAGGGGGACACCTGCCAGGCCCAAGCCCTCCTGTGGGCAGCCCCTGCAGCCCTCACATTGCTTGCTCTGTGAGTGGCTGCTGGTGGGGGGGCACAGTGGTCTGCTTGTCTCGGTCTTCGGCACTGCCACTGCCAATGGGAGCTTGGATTAGGCACGCCAGCCTCCTGGCGCCCAGAGCACACACTCTGCCCATGCGTGTTAGTGGACGGTCCTCCTGACTCTTGAGACTGTCCCGGAGAGCAGCCCAGGACCCCTCACATGGCACAAGACGCTCTTGTGTCCAGAATGGCCTTTATTTGTCGTCAGGGATAGGGGAGGGAAGCTTCTTAGTGGAAGGGAACAGCTGAAGGATGAATGGCCCCGGGACCACTTTCTCTGCCAGGAGGTAGCACTGGGAGGGGATGGGGACCCGGGAGGGGCGTACCCTCCTCCAGGAAGGCCTCTGCCGGGTCGGCTCCGTGACTCTGTCTTGGAAAGTGATGAACTTGGTTGCCTGACACCGACTGGGGTCTGTCACAGATCTTGATTTTCCCCAGGAGTTCTGGAGGCCCAGAGCCTGGGTGTGGCATCCGGTTCATCGGGGAGGGGAATGGGTCCTGCCCCCACCTCCTAGCCGGGCTCCACCAGGGCTAAGCTCTCATCTGGGGCTGTGCAAGTGAGCCAGGGTGGGGCAAAGTCCTGGCTGCTGGGTCTGGGCCAGTTCCAGGTACAGGGTCCAGATCCCCCCACTCCCGGAGGAGGGAGCCTCCTCTTCAAAGCCATCTGGCTCTGGGAAGGACAGCGAGGCAGGGCCATCTGCTTCCACACTCCCTGGGGTCTCTTCCTGGCCTAGGCCCAGAGCTGTGCAGCCTGGCCCAGAAGGTCCTCCCTCCCGCTGCGTCCACGGGGGGTCCCTAGGCCTCCAGCTCGCAGCGGTGCAGAGGGCCGGGGAGCAGAGGGGGCCCTGGCAACAGTGGCAAAAAGTCCTGGCGCCGAGGGACTGGATTCCACAGTGAGCTGCAGCCCCGGCCGCCATCACTGGGGTGGGGTGGGCGGTTGTTTCTCTGCAGGCCCAGGTGATGTGGTGGGGGCGCCTGGACTGCCACACAGACCCTGGGTTGGGTTGGGCACGGGGCCCGCCTGGCCCCCAGCTCAGGGACCGCAAGAGATGTGGCTCTGGCCGCTCAGGGCGGCAGAAGGGGCGGCTCAGTCCCAGTCTCAGGATACGGGGCTGGGGGAGGGTTTCCTCCCCAAAGGCTGTCCCGAGGCTGTGACCCCTTCGCCCAGAGCCCCGGCTTCCTCCTGGCGCCGCCCTCCCGGCCCCGGCCCACCCCGGACAAACAAGGCCCTGGCAGCGAAGCCCCTCCGCCGCCCAGCGCTCACAGGTCGTTTATTCCAAGTAGGAAAACGGAGACCTGCTCGGGGCAATCTAGGGGGGCCGACGCCCAGGGCGAGGCTGCAGCGTGTGCCTGCGTGGTCGCCTCTTTTGCAGTGACCACCGACAATGAAGACGGCGGCCGTCCTGCTCACGCGAGTTCCCGCCCGGATCCACGCCCTTCCCGTGGGGGACGCGGGCGGCAGCGCCAACCCGGCGCGGCACCGGGACGCGAACCCGCGGCTCCAGCGGCTCCGTCCGTGGCGTCCGCCTGCAGGGGGCGCCCCCGCGCCTGCCTCGACCGGCTCGTCCCCGCGCCGCGGACGCGCGCGCGCTGTCTCACGCGACACCCGCCCCGGCCGCCGTCCGTCGCAGCTCGCGTGCGTGCGCGTGCGTGCTAGTGCGGGCGTCGTGCGTGCGCGCGCGCGGCGGCCCAGACAGCGGCGCTGGGAGCCTGAGGCGGCCGTGGTTAGGCGGCTCCCCGGCGGCTTGTCCGCGGCGCTGAAGGCGACCGTGCTCCCCGCTTCCCGCTCCCAGCGCTTCTCCGCCCAGCTCCGCCAGCGGAGGCCGCTCCCGAGCGCCGGAAGATGCCAGCCGTGTCCAAGGGGGACGGGATGCGGGGCCTGGCCGTCTTCATCTCCGATATCCGCAACTGTGAGTGGCGGGGGCGGCGCGGGGCGCGGGGCGGGGGCTGTGGCTGGGGCCGCAGGCGGAGACGGGGTCTGGGAGCGGAGGTCCGGGGCGGGGGCTCGAGACGGGGGTGCAGGCTGCGATGCGGGCGGGGCCCGGGGCCTTAGGGTGCGGGCGGCGCTCGGGGTCTTGGGGTACCGGGTCTGGGAGTGCGAGCCAGGGTGCGGGGTGGGGGTCCAGAGTTTGGGGGTGCGGACTGCGCTCAGGGTCTTGGGGTATCGGGTCTGGAGGTGTGGGCCAGGATGCAGAGCGGGGCCCTGGGTCTGGGGTGCGGGGTAGGGGTTCCAGGGTTTAGGGGTGCAGGGTCTGGGGGTTTAGGGTACGGTCCTTCATTCACATCTTCACTCCCGTTTGCTGGTCCGCGCGGGGGGCTGCGGCACCGCCAAGGGGGTTCCGGGCCAAGACGCCCCTCCCCAGTATGATGTCACCTCGGTCTTTCTAGTACTGGAGCGTTTAACCCAGCATTTTCCAAAACGGCGTGGATTTTAGCTCTGGGAGCAGAAATCTGGAAATCGGTGTCTTCCTAGGAAACAGCTTTGTGAGCTGGGTTCTGGCGGCTTATTATCCCCTGATTAGATCTCACCCACGACGATTAAAATGACTCATTCCCGGAGGGAATCTGGACACGAGCAGGCAGTCAGCAGTCGGGGTGTGGGATGGCCTGGCTGCCTGCTGCTCCAATCACAGACCTCGTTCTCAACCCCATGCGTGTCCCCTCGGGGTGGAAAAAATCCACACCAAACCGTGAAACAAGCCAAGAAGGCTTGGCCTGTTAGAAGGATGTGCAGGGTGGCGGGGTGGGTGCACCGTTCCACAAATTAATTTGACTTTGGTGTGCAGAACCTTCTCTTGAAACAAAGCCGATTTCCTGTCTGGTGTGTTCATTTTTTTCCTTGTTATCCAGCAAATAGTTGACTTCATGGTTTTTTGTTTTTGTTTTTTTTGAGACAAGGTCTTGCTCTGGCGCCCAGGCTGGAGCGCAGTAGTGCCATCACGGCCCACCCAGCCTCCCAGCTCAAGTGATCCTACCACCTCAGCCTTCAGAGTCGCTGGGACTACAAGCGTGCACCACCACCATTTTCGTGTTTTTTGTAGAGATGAGGGTCTCGCTGTGTTGCCCAGGCTGGTCTCGAACTCCTGAGCTCAAGTGATCCACCTACCTTGGCCTCCCAAAGTGCTGGGTTTACTGACGTGAGCCACTGCACCCTCATAATTTTTAGTGTATACTTTGAGGAATTTTTGTGATCTTCCCTTTGTATTCTCATCTCCTTAGACTGGGTGGAGGATCAGGAGGATGGTCATTCTCCTACACTGTGTGTAAGAGTAGAAGTCCATGTAACCCTTCCCCTACTCTTTAAAAAAAAAAAAAAGCATAGAGCTGGGTGCAGTGGCTCACACCTGTAGTCCCAGCACTTTGGGAGACCAAGGTAGGTGGATCTTTTGAGCCCAGAAGTTTGAGACCGGCCTGGGCAATGTGGTGAGACCCTGTCTCTACAAAAACCATGAAAATTAGCCGGGCGTGTTGGTGTACACACCTATAGTCCCAGCTACTTGGGAGGCTGAGACAAGATCACTTGAGCCCAAGAGGTCAAGGCTGCAGTGAGCTGAGATCGTGCCACCGTACTCCAGCCTGGGTGACAGAGTGAGACCTTTGAAAAAAAAAAAAAAAAAAAAAAAGGCTTAGAAACACAGCCTCAGATCATCACTTTTACGAGTAGCATTTTTTCTCTTGCTTTGTCACGTAATGAGACTAACATGCATTTTGTAAAACTAAGTGTGTGTATTATTTGTTAAGGGGACTCCTCGGGACAAAGGCTGAGCACTGTTAAGTTAGCTGCAATGTCTGTCCTTCCATTTTTGAGGAAAATTGTGTTAGGCAGGACGATGAGATTGGAAGGCATTTCCTTAGACAACAAGTCACCCGCTTGTTAGATATATTGTCTGTGCGAGGGCCTGCGTTTGACAGGATGGCGCCTACCACAGGGAGCGCAGTACAGCCGTCCTCCCTTATTTGTGGTTTCACCTTCTGAGGTTTCAGTTACCTCTGGTCACCTGTGATCTGAAAATAGGTGAGCACAGTACAATAAGATATTTAAAGAGACCACATTCATGTAACTTTTATTACAGGATATCATTACAGTTCTCTTTTATTATTGGCTGCTGCTAATCTCTTATTGTGCCTAATCTGTAAGTTAAACTTTTTCCTAGGTATGTGTGGGAAAAAAGCAGCTTGTATAGGATTTAGTGTTACATGAAGTTTCAGGCACCCACTGAGGGCCTTGGAACGTATTCCTGTGGATATGGGGAAACTGCCGTACTCTATAAATACTTGACTGTGTAGACCAGACTTTCTTCAACTCAGCAGAGCTGACATTTGGGGCTGGATCACCCTTTGTTGTGGGGGACTGTTGAGTACCTTGTAGGATGTTTATAGCAGCACCACATGCCTCCGTTGTGATAAGGAACAATGCCTCCAGGCATTGACAGATGTCCTCTTAGGGCTAAGTTGTCCTCCGTGGAGAACCGCTCATGTATCCCGATGAATGAGACAGCCCCTCCCCTGAAGGAGCTAGCAGAAGAAGGGGCGCTTCGTCCTAGCTGGGGGAGCCAGGTCTCTTTAATACGGCCGCCTTCTCGGAATTCTCGTTGCGACTTTGCTGTTGGATGGCCTCTCATCAGCTGCAGTACTCACCGTTCTCCCTCTGGGCAGTGGCTTCAGCCTGTGGTACTGGTTTTCACCCGTGCGGCTGCATCTCCCCCGCTGCCCTCTAGGGTGGGCTCTACAAGGTGGGCACCCTGTCTCGCTCATCACATTACGGCTCCTGCTCTCCTCATGGTGAGCGTCTGGCATGCGAGCTGTGCCCAGTGAATGGGTAGATGAGCAAGCCAGAGAAGACCTCACAAGGAGGGTGATTCTTGGGCTGGTTTTGTCCAATGGGCAATTCAGGCAGGAGACCAAGGTATTTGAGGAATAGCAAATAATTAATGTATCTATGTATTGAATTAATTAACGTGAGCTGGTGCCTGGAGATGGGATTGGAGGGCCAGCCAGGGTTTGAGCTCATCTGAACCTGAGCTCCATGTCCCAGGCAGAGGGGTCCCCGATTCTGCTTTCCCTGGCCAGCTCTGATTTTGTGTGCAGTTTTCCTCTGGTGAGGGTGAATGATAGTAGTCGTCGGGCCCTGTGGAAAGAGGACTCTGAGCTGACAGCCAAGGCTCTTGACCCTGACTCTGCCTCTTAGCAGCTGCATGAGTGGAGGCCACTGGCCATGGAGCCTCAGTTTCCACAGTGGACAGTTGAAGGGGTGGATTTAGAGCTGAGATATCATTAAAGCTGCATGAGTGGGGGCCACTAGCCACAGAGCCTCAGTTTCCTCAGCTGACAGTTGAAGGGGTGGATTTTGAGCTGAAATATCATTAAAGCCTGTTTGAGCTCCAAATTTGCATCTTTCTGACTAGTTTCTTAAGTTTTCCTCCTTTAGCCTGGGCAATATAGTGAGACCCCTATCTTTACAAAAGAAAAAAAAGAATTAGCCAGGTGTGGTGGCATGCACCTGTGGTCTCAGCTACCCAGTGGACTGAGGTGAGAGCATTGTCTGAGCCCTGGAGGTTGAAGCTGCAGTGAGCTAGGATTGTGCCACTGCACTCCAGCCTGGGCAGCCTGAGCAACAGATTGAGAGACCCTGAGACCCTGCCTCAAAAAAAAGTTTTTCTCTTTCAAGACCCAGTGCCAGCCGGGCGCGGTGGCTCACACCTGTAATCCCAGCACTTTGGGAGGCTGAGGTGGGCGGATCACCTGAGGTCAGGAGTTCAAGACCAGCCTAGCCAACATGGTGAAACCCCTTTTCCACAAAAATGCAAACATTAGCTGGGTGTGGTGGTGGGCGCCTGTAGTCCCAGCTACCCGGGAGGCTGAGGCGGAAGAATCGCTTGAACCCGGGAGGTGGAGCTTGCAGTGAGCCAAGATCGTGCCGTTGCACTCCAGCCTGGGTGACAGAGCGAGACTCCGTCTCAAAAAAAAAAAAAGAAAAGCCCTGTGCCAAGTATCTGAGGGAGTGGACAGGGAGCACGTGGACACCTGAGCTAAGGATGCTGTCTTTTCACTTCGAGTAACCCACTCCCAGCAGACTGGCTTGGGGCGTTACTCCTCTTAGCAGAGGCAGCAATGAACATGCTCTAGGATTTGAAAAGGGGCCTCGTGCCAAGCTCTGCCCCTCAAAGTTGTAGCTTTTGTGGCTCAGGTAGTGAACTAACTTAATATCTCCTAAAATTAACTTCATCCGAATTTCTGATTGACTTCAACCCAGCGACCACTGCATTTTCTCAGTATGAGTTCAGCGTGTGAAAGTTAATAAATTGTTTCTTTTTTTAAAAATTGGCATTAAAAAATCCTAGTCCTTTTATTTAGTCCAAGTTTTAGAATCTTTAGTTTGAAATAATTGCAGCTTTACAGGAAGTTGCAGAAAATGGGCAGGGAAATCTCTGGCATTCTTCACTCTACCTTTCTTTCTTTTTTTTTTTTTTTTGGGACGGAGTCTTGCTCTGTTGCCCAGGCTGGGGTGCAGTGGCATGATCTCAGCAGCTCACTGCAACCTCTGTCTCCTGGGTTCAAGTGATTCTCCTGCCTCAGCCTTTTGAGTAGCTGGGATTACAGGCGAACACCAACACACCTGGCTAAATTTTGTATTTTTAGTAGAGATGGAGTTTCACCATGTTGGTCAGGCTGGTCTTGAACTCCTGACCTTATGATCCGCCCACCTTGGCTTCCCAAAGTGCTGGGATTATAGGCGTGAGCCACTGTGCCTGGTGCCCTACCTTTCTTAATGTGGACATCTTGCATAACTACAGGACATTTTCAACACCGGGACACAGACGCTGGTACACACCACCAGGCTTATTCAGATTTCATTAGATCTACGTGCACAAATGTCTGAAACGTGTGTGTATGTGGTTCTATACAGTTT